CATGAGATCAGGGCCCTTGCTGCGTCATGGGCCCTCCTCAATGGGTCCCCCTTTCAGGAGGTCATGTCCGCAGCTTTCTGGCGCGGACAGACTACCTTCACGGATTTTTATCTCCGGTCCTTGGCCTCTCATTCTGATGGATTGTATTCCCTTGGACCGGTGGTGGTTGCACAGTCTGTGGCTGTTCCTCCACAGTAATTCAGTGATTTTAAATAGTATGCTATCAGGCACCACGGTGGTACACCTGCTCGTTTCACGGGGAGGTTTTCCATTTTTTAATTACTTTCGGGGCTTTATTAGGGGGGTTCCTTGAACCTTTTCCCTACCTTGAGCATGTCTCGAGTTTGTTCCGTCAGCCTGGTCTGCCTGGATTCGAAGCCTCCACTACGGTAAGACGAATTCGCATACTAAAGTTATGGTAATTATTACTGAAATGAAATTGAGGTTTTTGAAGTAAAACCAATTTTCATGATGTAATACTTACCATAACTTTATGGAGTCCCACCCTGTATTCCTCCCCTTGCCTCCTCATCCTGGCTGCCTTTAGGCTCCATAAAAGGGGGTTTGAGGAAGGGAGATCACTCCGTGGCTCTGTCATCGAGATAGAGGTTACGTCACGGTAGGGAGGTAGGGATATTTGAATCTTTTGTTTTTGGGCTACAAAGATGGGTGTAGGTATTGTATATGCATACTAAAGTTATGGTAAGTATTACATCATGAAAATTGGTTTTACTTCAAAAACCTCAAGTTAAATACATCTGTATATACATGAGTGTGTTTGTCAGACACTGAAATACATTGAGGATTTATCCTAAAAGCTGACTGATAGCATACAAAAATTCAAGCATCATATATGTGACATTGTATTTTTACTTATTATTCAGATTCACCAGTGTGTTGACCTCCTGTTTTATATAGATCTATAGGAAATGACAGAAATCAGTGATGGTTGCCTGTCTAGAACTTATTATAGTAATGGCGGAGCGTGACAGTAAATTAAAATTATGTATAACTATATATATTTCTTGAGTATAGCAGAAAACCAATAATTTTCATAAGTGCCAAGCAGGAGTATATTCGTATCGTGGTACGTATCATATCGTAAGCATCGAACCGCGATACGTATTGTATCCTGAGGTATTTGTATCGTTGCAGCCCTAGTTGCCATACAAGGGACTACAATTGAATTTTCTATCTATTTCATTTTTAGCAATTAGGTCACCAGAGCCAAATGCTCAGTGTATACATCAATGGTATAGCAGAGCGATCACGTATTCTATCGTCACTTCAACTGCGTATGAAAAACTGCAGTGAATATAAAGTACCATTCTGATTGGTCAATATTAAAAGTGATATCTTCACATGGGAATTTAAGATATAACATTAGCAAATTTTTACCATATAAATAAATCCAATATTTCTCTGGTAAAATTTGATAAATGAATGAAACATTGCACCACTTAATGAAAGGGGGTGACCCTGTATTCGGTGTACTTTTTTTTTTGCAGGGTGGGGGGGGGCACAAAAGATGTATAAAAGAATCTTAGCAGCTGATATTATAATTTCAGCATCACAGTTATATAAAACCACATTACAAATTATTCAGGATGGGTATGCCATGCAAGTGATGGGGAATATGATGAAATTTTACAATCAATCATTGGTTACCATTACTTAGCGGATCATCAATTAGCAATCGTTTTAAAGAGATACATTGTGAAATCCTCCATGCTGTTGTTGCGAGTCTCTAACACAAATAATGTTACAATATTAAGAAATACCTTCCTCCAAACACTGTATCTGAAATTTATAGTCCTAAGCAGGCTTGAACGTTAAAGCAAGTCAGTGATGATGTTAATATACATACCACCAGGAAAATTCTGCTGCTGAATTTGTTAGTATCTAGCTGGCAAAGACAAAAGTTGGAAACTGAATCACTATGTGGAAAAATCCACAATATCTATAATCGATCATGAATTCTGTAGTCGATTAATCATACTGCATCAAACTTTGTAGACTCCTTGGCTTAAGATTGCAATAAATGACGACTGTACACTAATAAATTAAGTCTGTTGTTGCAGAGTGTCTCTGGGCTCTGGCTTGCAAGATAGGAACATGTCTTGACTCTCCTCTGCTCATTGTACGTCTCGTAACTGAGGCTTTTAGAATAATCTGGTCCGTTTTAAGTGCTGCAAATACTTCCTGTTTCGATGGCGACGACAGTCAGTCAAGTACCACTTGTATCGTGAGTAGGCGTGACATGATACGTCAATAAACAACAAAATATTTCATGTGAAAAAGGCAAATTCTGTCGCGTTTGAAAATACCATTTGTATCAAAGAAAGACTCAAAAGTGGTTGCATAACAGGGTTGGTGTCTTAACTCATTCACCCCTAAAATTTTGTAATGAACTATACCTATCTTTGAATTGGAAGAGTTCAAATGTGTGTTCAGGTGTGAATGAGTTAATAGAGTATTGATGTATGGTAAACTGCTTTGTGGGAATGAGAAAATGGTGGATGTTAAGAACCCCAAAGGGGCGGGGCCCAATAGGGGGAAAACAATGGTAAATATTTAATATCCTCCTTATGTTCCGTTAGAATGAAGGGATATTTAAACCAAAATTTGTCTTTTATTTCTTAGGGAAAGTGAAATGAAATTTGTATAAACAGAGGATTTTAACCAAGTTAGGTTTTGATGAATCATTGTGCAACAGGGACACAATTTTATATAACTAGGGGATGTGTATGGATATAAACAGAACACACAGACATGACTGCACTTCAAAGTCAAGTGGTTCATGTAAATAAGTTTCCGGCAAACTTTGGTTTGTGCCAGTATCAGAGTTCTCCTTTAGGAAACAAAGACTTGTAAATACACTTATTGTGTGACGATGATGAATATATAAGGAAGTATAACTTGTTCGACTGACTCGGGGAATTGCATCTCCCAGTATACTCTGGTCTAACATTGAACTTTGGCCCATGTGAACCTGGGGCCTTGAGAATTAGTCACCGTAATATGCTCTTGAAAAATTGACGGTGTCACAAATGACAGTGATGTTTTTTTAATAGTTAGATGTCGAAAATGGACTGCTTTAATCAGACCAGTGTCCAAATTTTTCACAATCAAATCTGGTTCATATAAGCTGCCTACTAATTCTAAAAAAGCATTTTTTACAGTATTTCTACATTGAAGATTACATGTTGAATTCCTGGAATAGTTGAAAGTTCCACTGAATTGGCCAAATGACAATCGCACTCATATCAATTATCATTAAGAAGGCTGAAGGTTTTCTGACTATTTGGTAAACCTTGTTCATTCCTTTCTGCCGAGGTTTTGTTTCCTCCAAGTAAGGGACTATGGCCTTACTTTAGTGATGAAGCAGTCTATATCATTATCATCAAAAGAGGATTTTGCAAAAGTAAAGTCATGGGAATGAAGTTCTAAACAAATGGTGTTGCTCTAATAAGGAGCATAGCTAGGACTGAGGACAAATAAGTGAAAATTGGGTATGGGTGGACAGACTTTAACTTAAAATAAGACATCCCTGGTCTAAGGGGAATACGTTGTTGAAAGAGTTAAACGTTGTTATATACGTTGTGTATAAACAAGAATTCCACGGAAGTGGATGTGTCGCCTGTGCAGGAAGCTGGGAGATTGTGCTTAGCACTGCATTAAGTTTTAGTTTGATCAGCCCAAGGAAACTCAAGTTATCGCACGAAAACAGATTTTCTATTTATAGTCACAGTGACCTTGACCTTTGACCTTAGGACCTGAAAAGCAATCCCAAGCAAGCACTTTTGGTAAGGAAGCACTGCATGAAGTTTGAGTTTGATCGGCCTAAGGAAACTCAAGTTATCGCACGAAAACCTCTGTGCGGACGACGCCGCCACCACCGCCGCCGACATAGCAATACCTATGTGTCACCAGCTTTTCACAGGCGACACAAAAAAGGATGAAAAATTAGGGTAATTTAAAAGTACAGTTCGTTCTATATGAACATGATTTAGTATAAAGCATCCCCATACCAAGATAGTGATGGGCAATCGCTTTGAAATCAAAATCAATTGATTTGTAATCAGAAGTAGTAAACCAATTGATGATCAATTTGCATGATCGGTACTGGTACCGAGTATACGGACTGAATACCCCAAAAAAGTGAAATAACGACTGGTGCATCAACAGACAGAGTTGTCAACTATACATTACGTTTTGTTCTTTTATGAAGAATGGATTTCATGCAAATTTTATGCAGTTTTGTCAATCATTTAATTATAAGAATTTTACANGGGGGGGGGGGGGGGGGGGGGGGGGGGGGGCAGAGTTATACTAGGTGCAGAAGGTCATACAAGTTTTTTGCTAATTTTTGCGGCTACATTTATTGTAGTTTAAAATCCAAGGTGGGCATTAGTAATCTAGCCTCTGGCTGCAACTTTCAATTTCTTCTCAACTTCCATCAAGCTAATTTCGACAATTTTTATACGACCGTCAAATTTGACGGTGGTATTATGGTATGGCGTTGTCCGTCCGTCGTAAACTTTTGTTTGTCCGGCAATCCCCTCCTACAATTTTCGACCAATCTCTTTGAAACTTGGTATACATTATTATCATGCTATGAAGTTGTGTCTCGCCTATAAGAATTTTGATTCGACGATTTTTGCAAAAGTTATTGCCCGTTGTTCTTTTCAGTATTTGATTTTTTGTCCGGAGATCTCCTCCTACATTTTTTGACGGATTTCTTTGAAACTTAGTAGGCTAATTAATCTTGATATGTTGTTGTGTTTCCCTGAAAAGAATTTTGATTCGACAATTTTTGCAAGAGTAATTTCCCTTTGTTTATTTCAGTATTTGATTTTTTGTCCAGAGATCTCCTCCTACATTTTTCAACAGATTTCTTTGAAACTTGGTATACATTATTATCATGCTATGAAGTTGTGTCTCGCCTATAAGAATTTTGATTCGACGATTTTTGCAAAAGTTATTGCCCTTTGTTCTTTTCAGTATTTGATTTTTTGTCCGGAGATTTTCTCCTACATTTTTTATAGCATGTCAGCTAACCACACTTAGAATGATGCAGATCTTATTTCAGTGTAAGAAAGTATATAAAACTATATGGCTTTCGATGGGCATATATTGTTCCGCCCCGCGGTACTCTTGTTTGTATAAGATAAAGATCCTTTTATGTTGGGCACCAATATTCTTTTAGTTCATTTTTTTGCAGAAATACATCTAATGCAAAACTTAAAGCTATGATGTCACAAATAGGAAATTCACAGTTTGATGAAACACATTACCTTGAATGTTAAAATTTTACTTGTGTTTTTGATTGCAGGTCTGGCTATGGGAACCTTGGCGATCGGTCTGTTTGTGAGGTTATGTGCATCATTTGGAGCAGTGCTGTTCTCTGGTCTCAGTGTCAAGGAAATGTTATTCATCCCAATAGCATGGCTCCCTAAGGCCACAGTACAGGTAAGCCCCCTAATACAGGTACTACAGCCAGACTATCTAGGGCCACAGTACAGGTAAACCCCCTAATACAGGTACTACAGCCTCACTCTCTAGGATCACAGTACAGGTAAACCCCCTAATACAGGTACTACAGCCTCACTCTCTAGGGCCACAGTACAGGTAAACCCTCTAATACAGGTACTGCAGCCTGACTCTCTAGGGTCACAGTACAGGTAAACCCTCTAATACAGGTACTGCAGCCTCACTCTCTAGGGTCGCAGTACAGGTAAACCCCCTAATACAGGTACTACAGCCCGACTCTCTAGGGCCACAGTACAGGTAAACCCTCTAATACAGATACTACAGCCTGACTCTCTAGGGTCACAGTGCAAGTAAACCCCCTAATACAGATACTAAAGCCTCACTCTCTAGAACGTCATACTAGCGATAGCCTCGGATCTCTAGGATCACAGTACAGGTAAGCCCTCTAATACATGTACTGCAGCCTCACCCTCTAGGGTCACAGTACAGGTAAACCCCCTAATACAGATATACTACAGCCTCACTTTCTAGGGCCACAGTACAGGTAAACCTTCTAATACATGTACTGCAGCCTCACGCTCTATGGTCACAGTACAGGTAAACCCCCTAATACAGATACTACAGCCTCACTCTCTTGGGTAACAGTACAGGTAAACCCACTTATACAGGTACTACAGCCTCTCTCTCTAGGGTCACAGAACAGGTACACCCTCTTATACAGGTACTACAGCCCGACTCTGGGATAAAAGTACAGGTAAATCCTCTAATACAGATACTACAGCCTCACGCTCTAGGCCCACAGTACAGGTAAACCCCCCTAATACAGGTACTACAGCCCCACTCTCTAGGGCCACAGTCAAGGTAAACCCCCTAATACAGGTACTACAGCCTCACTCTCTAGGGTCACAGTACAGGTAAACACTCTAATACAGATACTACAGCCTCACTCTCTAGGACCACAGAACAGGTAAACCCTCTAATACAGGTACTACAGCCTCTCTCTCTAGGGTCACAGAACAGGTACACCCCCTAATACAGGTACTACAGCCTCAATCTCTATAGGGCCACAGTACAGGTCAACCCCCTAATACAGGTACTACAGCCCCACTCTCTAGGGCCACAGTCAAGGTAAACCCCCTAATACAGGTACTACAGCCTCACTCTCTAGGGTCACAGTACAGGTAAACCCGCTAATACAGATACTACAGCCTCACTCTCTAGGGTCACAGTACAGGTAAACCTCCTAATACAGATACTACAGCCTCACTCTCTAGGGTCACAGAACAGGTAAACCCCCTAATACAGGTACTACAGCCTCACTCTATATAGGGCCAAAGTACAGGTAAACCCCGTAATACAGGTACTACAGCCTCACTCTCTAGGGCCACAGTCAAGGTAAATCCCCTAATACAGGTACTACAGCCTCACTCTCTATAGGGCCACAGTACAGGTAAACCCCCCTAATACAGGTACTACAGCCTCACTCTCTAGGACCACAGAACAGGTAAACCCTCTAATACAGGTACTACAGCCTCACTCTCTAGGGTCACAGAACAGGTACACCCCCTAATACAGGTACTACAGCCTCACTCTCCAGGGTCACAGTACAAGTAAATATTTAAAACTTGATACACAAAGTGTTTTTTATTGAATTGTACGGATGAAAGTGATTATCTACAAGGTAAAAACAAACAGGACACAAAGTTTCATACAAAAATAGTCGAAAATTGAACAAAATATACACAAAGATTTATTTCACATTTTACAATCATTTTGATCATGGTAAGAGTTGTCTTCCTTGAAAAAAATCGGAACTTTTTGCAGAGGGATAACATTTGCACAATGACAGTTATCTCTTTTAGAACATATCAAAAATGGTAAAAGAAATTAAAATTATGATATCAAAAGTGACAATTTATTGTTCTTTTATGGTACCAATTTACTCTCAATCATGCACACTTTGGACAATCATTCCACAGTCCGCTAGTGCATGTTATATTTATATGTCGGGTACATATGTAACCCGAGGCTATCGCTAGTACGCCGTTCTCACGTGCACCCACACATGCATAGTCACATGGATCTTGATATTTTTACAACAGACTATTTTAACAGAGTTAGTGTCATTATAAAAAAAAAGATTTACTCTACAGAGCGTAACTCGCTTGACACCGAAAATGGTAACGACCTCGAGCATGTGAACTACTGTAAGTGCAACATATGTACATGTTAGGTTGGTACACAAAACACATCGGTCCGCATTCCATGTGCTTCATATATGACCTTCTTGAAGTCGTCTGGTCTCGCCTCAGTGTCTTTCTGTGAGTCAGTTTATGTCTTTGTATCGGAATCTTTATTTCTGAAGTACGTGTGATTACACATTAACCAGGTCAGTCTCGATATCGGGTGTTGACATATCATCGTCACGCACGTGAACTATTGTTTACCCGGTGTTACTATAATTTACACTATGGTATTGAAATGCCCGATACGCAATACGGAAATGTCGACACGGAAATACGACAAGAAACACATGTGTATTACGAAGGGTGGGAAGTCCTTAATTAATCGATATGATTGTCTCCGCTTGACCAACATCCATACTAATGAGGTTTCCATCGTTGCAGGCGGCCATTGGTGGAATAGCCTTGGACGAGGCAACAAAGCGTGGAGATGCCAGGCTGATGGCATTGGGGACATCGGTATTGACCATTGCTGTTCTGTCAATCGTTATAACAGCTCCCATAGGGGCCGCCCTCATTTCTATAGTGGGGCCAATGTGGTTGAGGAAACAAGAGGACAACAAGGATGGTATTGGTGATGACAATGATGAGGAAACAAAATCTATGACAGAATTATAGTACAGAGTTACATATAGGATATTTTAATTTTTAGTTGACTAAATTTTTCTAGTGAAAGGTAGTGACTTACGTTTTTAAAACCTGACGTTGTTGATAAGAAACACTTGCCAAAAACCTTGATGGTTGGGGAAAATTAAATGGTCTTATTACCCGAGATAATTATGACATGGTGTATGTATCGGGTATATATCCATGTGAGCCTCCACTCGTGTTGTTTGTACTTTTGTACATCTGTCAAAGTTTTTATGTGACATACTATGGTGTGAGGTCTGTCTGTCTGTCTGTTTACTAAGGTTGCCACAAGATGACTTGCTGAAATATCTTCAGATATTAATGAAACATGGCGAGCAGGTTAAATACACAAAGACCAAGTTAAAAAGCAAGATCCATGCATAAGTAATTAGCAACTGAGTAGTGATTGGAAGGGTATTTCAATAACTTCATCAAATAAGATCAGATTTTTATGAAACTTTGTCAGTATTTATACTCTGCAAAATAGGGAATTCAAGGTTTAAATCTTTAAAATCTTTCTTCTTCTGTACCATTGGAGGGATTTTATGTAATCAGATTAATTGCCCATGGTTGCTTTATTATCCAGGTGAGTGATACAGGCCCTCTGGGCCTCTTGTGATTATTAAGAAGTTATTTAAAGATCTTTTAACATATTTGACCCAAGTGACCATGAAAGAATATCAAGATCATTTATTTGAACTGATTTGGTTGCCCTTCTTCCCAGCATACATACTACTCACAGAATGTCATCTCCCTGGACCTGTTGTGTTAAAACAAATTCTGCTCAGCATGCTCAGATGAATTAGTGCTACAAGTTTTGTTCAAATGAATGACTTTGACACATATTCAAGGTCACAGGGATCAATTTTCTTAAAAACAACTTGCAACAACTTCTGAATAACCCAAAGGACCAGGGTTATGATTGCTAGCCTGCAGCATACAGGGATGAGTGGCTACCAGTTTTGTTCAAATGAGTTTCCTTCACCTATTTTCAAGGTGAAAAAGGTCAATTCTCTTAAAAAAATTGTATAACCAAACGTCTTAGGGTAATGATATTTGGCCAGTAGCATGCTCAAATAAAGAGCTAATAAGTTTGTTCATCTGAATGACCTTAACCAATTTTCAAGGTCACATGGTGAAGTGTATGACCTCATCTTAATAAACAAAAGGTCTAGAGTGGTGATATTTGGCAAGTTGCACGCTGCGATTGAAGGGCTATACAGTTTGAAGGTCACAGGTGTTAAATTATTTTGAATGACTCATAGACACTTATATCTCCCCTGTAACATTATTTTAGTCAACTTTTAAAGCTACATGCGAGTTTTAATACCAGGTGAGTGCTCTAGGCCCAGTAGGCCTCTTGTTAAACAACTCCTTATAAATAATCAAAAGGCCCAGTAAAACCTGTGAGCCCAGTAAAACCTGTGATGAAAAGCTTCCAAGTTTGTTTAAATAAATGACATTGACCTACTTTCAAGGTCACAGGTTCAAATCTTATTAAATCACTTTAAGCAACTTTTTTCCAAATTACCAAATGGTCCAGGATGATTCATTTTAGCCAGTAGGATGCAGAAATGTATTTGACCTTGGTCCACTTTTAAGATTGCTGGTTTGAGATAAAACTAGGTAAGCAATACAGGCCCATTGAGACTTTTGTTTCTTTATGAATTTGATTTGTATGCCAGTAGCAATGATTAACTTGAATGTTGGTTATTATATTTTAATTTGGTATTGAAATTACTTGCCACAAATACATTTAAAATTGAATATCATTTCAGATAACATGTTGTAGTCTAGTCAATAATGTGAGTTAGAGTCCTTTCTGTGAGTCAAATACCTGTCATGTTTTTATTAATCATAGTGTAAATTATAATGTATATCAAAACGGATAATTAGTCTTTTGATAAATAAATAGGTTTTCATACATGTTTTTTTTCTGTATAAAGGTATATAATACATATTCTTAACCAATATTTTAATAAACGCATGAAATATTTCTGTTTATTTGATATGAATTGATAATGTAGATAAATAAATACGTTGAAATATATTTGCAACAATGAAATTGACTTCAATATGTTTATTATGAACACAATGAAATATGATAAATATGAATGCATGTAAACATGTTTACTACAATGGAAATGAATATATTTACTATAAATAAATTTAAATATGTTTACAATGAAGGCTTAAATTTGTTTACTATATAAACACTTGAATATATCATCTGCGAACATAATTAAACATGTTTACTTTGACATTGACCTTTGACCTAGTGACCTTAAGTCAGTTGACACTTTGTTAAATTCCGACCAACTTTGCTTCATAATGTCATAACAAAATGTTCATCAGGGAAAAGTGATACAAAATTTGACCTTGACCTTGGACCCAGTGACCTTGACCTTTAGTCAATTGACTCCTTGTTTAATTCTGAGCAACATAGTGTCATAACGAAATGTTCACCAGTAAAAAGATATTAAATTTGAACTTGACCTTTGACCTTGAGTCAATTGACTCCTTGTTAAATTCTGAGCAACATTACTTCAAAGGGTCATTACGAAATGTTCACCAGTGAAAAGATACTAAATTTGACCTTGACCTTTGGTCCCAGTGACCTTGACCTTAAGTCGATTGACTCTTGGTTAAATTCCGACCAACTTTGCTCCATAATGTCATAACAAAATGTTCATCAGGGAAAAGATACAAAATTTAACCTTGACCCTTGACCCAGACCTTTGGTCAATTGACTATTTGTTCAATTCTGACCAACTTTGCTTCATAATGTCATAAAATGCTCATTAGTAAAATTTGACCTTGACCTTTGAACCTAATGTAAATTGAACATCTTGACCAAGGTTTCATGTAAATTGGTCAATAAATACTAAAGTTATCAGCCAGGAACAAAATTTGTGAACGGACAGACAGACAGAGTGATTACTAAAGGGCACCCGTATCTCCGATATGGGGCCCTAGTTAAACATGTTTACAGCTAACACAATTAAACATGTTTACAACTAACACAATTAAACATGTTTATAACAAACACTATATGAAATATGTTTACTACGAAAAGCACATTAATATGTTTATCCAACATTTACATTTAAAACAAGAGGCCCAGAGGGCCTGTATCGCTCACCTGGATATCTAAGCAATCATGGCAAAATATTCTCCAAATGAGATCCCCATGGGAATATGCCAGACCCCAAGGCCAATCCTTGTAGCATGTCTGTATTAGATTTTTCATGCCCAGCAATTTTATGTATGGTTATGGGGTGGGGATCTTAACCATTTCAAGGTTATGACCCAGGGGTAAAGTCTCCATGGGTGGGGCAGTCCCCAAGGCCATCCTTGAAGCATATGTGCATTCATCTCTTTATACTCAGCAATTGTATATATAGTTATATGGTGGGGATCTCAACTGTTTCCAAGCTGTGATTAAGAAACTTTCGTCTCTTTATGCCCAGCATTTGTATATATAGTTTTGGGGTGGGGATTTCAACTGTTTAAAAGTTATGACCCAGGAACTAAGTCTCCAAGGGTGGGGCCAGACCCTAGGGTCATCCTGGAAGCAAATGTGCATTCTTCTCTTTATACTAAGCAAATGTATATATGGTTATACCGTGGGGATCTCATCCATTTCCAAGTAATAAACTATTTTTGGCCCCACCCCTTAGCCCGGGGGGTCAGCCCCACCATTTGTACAATTTTGAATCCCTGCCTCCCATGAATGCTTCCGACCAAATATGATCGATATCCATGGCATAGGTCTACAGAAGAAGTCGTTTACAGCAATATAGCCAAATTGCCCCCTTTTGGCCCTGCCCCTCAGCCCCACTATTTGTACAATTTTGAATCCACACCACCTAGGGATGCATGCTTCCAGTCAAATATGGTTGATATCCTTCAGACCCAGTGAGCTAAAAATAAATAAAGCTTTCATTTTCACCAGACTGGCAGTTTTAGTATCACAGCATAATTGTGGTATTGTGACATCTAGCACATAAAATGGAGAAAAATGGAGAAAAAAGGACTAAAACTCGCAACGAGATGGTTAATATGTTTATTTCAGCTTTCATTAAGAAATTTCTACATAGTAAAAGTGGACAGTGGAAATCTGTAATCAGTGTACAATTAGCTGTATTGCAGACATTAGCAGTGGGATATCGGTGGATCTTTTACATTCTGTAGAATTCTGATTTCTGTGTGATACCCTGACATAATGAAGTTGGGGAGTGAATATATAAATATATATATGAGGTAATTGTCAGAAAAAACTGATATAATAAAATTATGCAATATAGTAAAACTTGCCCCCTTTCCAAGGAGGAATGGGTGACCCATGGTTAGTGAAATTCACATTTGATTAAGCACTATAGGACATGTCTATCTATGAAGATGATTTGATTCTAGCTTATTAGGAACTGATGAGATGTTTTTTGAAATTTTAGCCTGTTTGACCCATTTTGGCCCCACCTCTCAGGGATGTAAGTCAGGATTTTAATTTCATACCATCAAACTGCAAATGCAATCAAATGATGATAGTTCTAACCTAGTTTGAATTATATCACACTGAAAATAAAAAAACCATACCTAATAGTGTTATTTCTCTATATAAACTATTGTAAAATGAACACCCTCCTCAGGGGGGATTAGGCAGCCTTGGGGCAATGAAATTATCAATGAAGTACCTTAGGATATCTCAGTCTATACATGAAAAGTCTTTTATTTCAGCCTATCACAGTCTGAAGAAGATTGCTGAAATTTAAGCAAGATAAAATACATATGATTTACTAATTTGGTTGGCCTTTGACCTTGGAACCTTCCTGCAAGATGCTATTGAAATTGGTTCATTGGGTATGAAAAAGTCGAAAACGTCCATACTGTTTATGGAGGCATGAAGAATGACACAAGACTGGACGGAAATGGACAAAAAGCAATCACAACAAGTCACCTGTCTCAGGTGGCCTAAAAACCAAATATGAAAGGGGATCTATCTTTAGCTACTAAACATTCAAAACACTAGTTATGATGAGGGAAACAAGTAAATGTCTGCACATGAATTGTAGTCTATGGCGGTGTATCTGTAGTGTGTGGTTCGGGAACAGATTCTTCAAGGTGTTTCTGGTTGACTTCAAAACTGTATAGAGACTCGCGAAAATCCTCAAAAGATTCGCCAAAGACAATGCTCTTTATGGCTGCTTGAACGAAGAGAAAACTGAAACAAGAGAAAATGAACTATAATGATACATTTACTGCAGAACTATAATGATACATTTACTGCTGAACTATAATGATACATTTACTGCAGAACTATAATGATACAATTACTGCAGAACTATAATGATACATTTACTGCAGAACTATAATGATACATTTACTGCAGAAAGACATAAATTAATCAAGCATGTATTCAAGATACATAGGTATTTGCTTGTGTTGCTATTATTTGAGCTGACGATGCATCCCGTAATTTATTTATATACCGAGTTGTAATTCACCTATCTCATGATCAAAGCACTGTAAAAAAAATATCCTGATATATAGAATAGGACAAACTTATCCAATACTTGTCACCAGAGGTCAAAATAAAGATCAGTGACTCGCTTTTCATACAGTTAATTCTGTCATCTCGGGAATTATCTACATACCAAATTTGGTTACTTCAGGAAAAATAGCAGAGGACCCATTAAGCTTTGGATAGAGGTTTTCAATGTCTGAGGTCAGAGGTCAAAACATATTTCACACTGACCAACTTTTTATCAATTGCACATTTCCCCATAAGATAACCCTGCATACTGATTTCAGATAATCCTGGTGAAAAACTAGGAGAGATATGCCCCCCCCCGACAAACTTTTTGAAAGATGATAGTCAAACCATAGGTCACAGTAGCCTACTTCTGAAACTCTACACTCGGCAATCTCATGATGTACTTGTACACCAAATCTGGTTACCAGAGGTGAAATATAGGAGATATGCCCAGGCCAAATATTTTCAAAGGATGAGGTCAAAGGTCAAACCATAGGTCACAGTGACCAACTTTTTGAACTTGACATTCCGCCATCCTAAGATATACTTGCATACCAAATCTGGTTACTCCAGGTAAAGCAGTATAGAAGATATGGGAACCTTTGGGGGACTTATAACTTACAGATTTTCTGTGATGTCAGTGTTTTATGCAGATATGTTTTACAAAAGGATGAGTGTCTATAAGGCCCTTTTTTGGGCCCCGGTATATTTGGATTTTCACCTCCTTTTAGGGGTACCAAAAGGGGTAATAATACCATTTTTGTTTTTGAAAACATGTATACATTAAGGATGTACTCTTCTGAGGTTTCAGTCACGTTCAAGTCTCGTTTTGATCTGGTGCAACGGGTTTTTGTAATATTTAACAAATTATGATAGGTATAATAGCAAACACACATCTGAAAAACATGTAAAAAAAACTAGATGTCTGTTGTGTGTAGAACATTTTTTACAAGAATTTTTAAAAAATGACCATTTTGGCGGCCATTTTGAAAAAGTGTATTTATGTGAATTTCTTGCGCTTCACAAAGGGCCAAAATTCACCTTTTTTGACACTAGATTGATCACTTAAATTGTCATTGTGTCACCATTTTTAATTGTAGCAGGTTCAATTTTGCTGTACAACTTTATAATGTTCAATATGATCAAAATAATATGCAAAAAAGTGGAAAGTTATATATTATTGATATTTTTTTTTACATATTAGGGTAACTGAAGCACTTTTGATTTTTGACCCCGAAAAAGGTGAAAAATAACACAAATAATAATGGGACAAAAAAAGAAGCACACCGACCCCCCATTTTTGTGACTGTTTTAGAAAGAGAAACACATTTTCTTTTGATTCATTGAATACTAAAAAAAGTTTATTACAGGATTTTTTTTATATCAAGCGTTTAATCGGCAAAAAATGGTGAAAAATGTGCATTTTTTCATTAAAAAATAAGGGGTAGGGGGAACTAAAATCACATTTTTGAGTAAAATGAATAGGTTTAAGACATTTTACTTCCATAGTTTCAAAGAAAATAATATTTTTATCAATTCTACAAACATTCATACATATCTGATAACACACTTGGAAGAAATTGTATGAATTTGTTCTGCAAATGGTCAAAACCCGAAAATTCACCTAAAATCACATATTGTGTTAAATTGGTATCTTTGACCGATCATAGCACAAAAACGAACATACCGACATATAGTTTTTTTTGCATTTTTCTACTATGCCATTATCTCCTTTTTCCAAAAATCAATATATGAAAAAAAGTTTAATACAGGAATTTTTTGACTTCTCAGAGGTGTACATCCTCAAAAGCATATGTAATAGAATGAAAAATGACAGAAATTCAATTGTCACTTAAGTCAGGGGGTTCTTTTAGGTAATTTTCAATTGAAAAGTGATTTGTTTCTCAATAATTTCCTTTCTCATTTATATTTTAACTTGAAATTTACAACATCACTTTACAACATCACTCGTTTAAGTAAACTAACATAAATTGCATATTCACTACATGCTTTCCTTTTGTTTTATACTGAGTTATAATAAGCTCACGTTGAAAACAGCACAATAGGACATCTTTGAACCAATTAAGGAGACGAAAATCTGAATATACCAGGGCCCACTTCTACTGGGTTTTTTTTTAGCAAAAACACATGAAAAAAAAGTCACCCAGAGGGCCTGTATCGCTTACCTTGATAATAAACAACCATGGAAAAATATTCTCATATAATATTGCAACTACATTTATTTATTTCAAAATATTCGCTCTGTCTCTCAGCAACATCTGTTAAACCCTCATTAAGGGTCCCTTCATTCTGCCCCCTTGAAGTGGGGTGGATTTTCAACCTTTACCTCAAATTGGCCTATTTGGCCCCATCCTTCTGCTCTCAGGGGGCCACACCCTCCATTCCTACAAACTATTGTCCCCTTATCCCAAGGTTGCTCTGCACAAATTTTGTTTAAAATTCTTCCAATTGTACAGAAATAAAGAATTTTAAAGATTTTTCTCAATTTTCATGAAAAAGACCCTGCCCATATGCCCCATGGGGTCCACACCCTGTCTAAATACAAAAGTGAGTCCCGTTTACCAATGGATGCTTTACACAAAATTTAACCAAAATCCTTCCAATCAAATGAAAAAGATTTTAATCATGTATTACTATGTACCCCTTACTGGACCCCACCCCTCTGTCCCTGCACAAATTTATTTATACAAAAATTTAGTCCCTCTTGCCCAAGGAGGTTCATCAAAATATTTGTTAAAATCCTCCAATCCTACTGAAGGAGAAGGATTTAAAGATTTACATCAAGTTCCCCTTTTGGGCCCCTCCCCTCTGTGTCCAGGGGTTCAAACCCTCAGTTTATACAAAATTGAGTCCCCGATGTCAAATGATGATCTTGACCAAGTTTGATTGAAAGCTCTCAAATTGTACTGACCGAGAAGGATTTTTTTAAGATTTACCTTAAGTTTTCATATATGGCTCATCCCTCAGCCCCCTGGGGGACCACACCCTATATTTATACAAAATTGAGTCCCCTGCCTAGGGTTGCTCTGCACAAAATTTGGTCAAAATCCATCCAATCATATTGAAGGCGATGGATTTTTGCCAGGGGAGTTGCACCCTCTGTTTATACTAAATTGAGTCCCCTTTGCCCAAGGATGCTCTAAGCCAAATTTAGTCAAAATCCTTTGAGCAGTTAAGGAATAGGAGTGCTCTAAAGGAAAAGTCGACAGTCCTTCTGACAAGGTGAACTAAATAATGTATCAATGTAAAATTTACCTCTCTCCAGAAAGGAATGGATGAACAACTAAGTTGGTTTGAAACACATTTTGATTAAGCACTTTTGGACTTTTCCATTGATGAAAAGGATTTATATCTGGGTCTGAAGAACTTTGATTGTTGTAATTTTAACAAATTTGACCCTTTTGGCCCCATCCCTCAAGCCCTAAGGTTGAGTGAGGTTCTAATTTTGTAACCATCAACCTGCAATCACATAATAATTCCAACCGGGTTTGAATTATATCCCCTTTAAAATATACCCAAGAGTGTTATTTCTCTATTCCGTCTTTACGTATTGCAGAGTTATCTTCTCTTGGGAGCAGGTATTGATTGTTAGGGCACTTGTTTGTGAGAGTAACGTCATCAATTTTTGAGAAAACGACGTAATTTTCTCGCACAAACCAATGACGTAAAAATCAATACCTGCTCCCAAGAGAAGATAATTCTGCAATACGCAAAGACGGAATATAAACCATAGCAAACCTTACCTCTGCCCAGGGCGAATGGGTGACTTTGGGAAAATGAAATTAAAATTTTTGATAAAGCATCTCAAGAACTTTTCATCAACAAAGAGTAATTAATTCCAGCCTCACTGAGTCTGAAGAAGAAGACTGTAGAAATTTTACCTAATTTGATCCCTTTGGCCCAACTCCTCCGGCCCTGGGGCTGAGTCAGGTATTCAAACATACCTTCAAACTGCGATCACATGCTGATAATTCCAAAGAATTTTGAATTCCACTGAAAATCATCGATACCCAAAATGATAGTTCCCTCTGTAAACTTGAGTAAACTTTACCCCCTCCCCAGGGGGGAATGGGTGACCCTTGGACAACGAAATTCACAATTTCAGCAAAGCACCTAAGAATCTTTCAATCCATGATGAGTACTTGATTCCAGTATATCTGGGTCTGAAGAAAAAGATAGTTGAATTGTAGCCAATTTGACCCTTTTTGGNGGGGGGGGGGGGGGGGGGGGGGGGGGGGGGGGTTAGATCCATATAATTCACAAGTTTAGTTTGACTTTGACCTAGGAACCTTCCTGCATTACTTCACTTGATACTTTTTGAGATGAACCAATTACCTTCTGGTAAACTTTTTGTATCGGTGATTGAAAAAATGAGTGGCTATCTGCCAGAGTGTCTTTTCCTTCTTCGTTATTCCTTCGCCTGCCAGATGGTCCCTGTAGTGTTGGAGGTAGGGATCACCATCAAACTGCTTCATCAGTTCTCCAGTTGTATCTGTTTAAATCAGTGCATAGAAATATCTCATCAGAACCCCAGCTTAATGAAGAAGTTAACATTGACATGAGTAAATCTGATTATGCACTAGTTGGCAACTCATTATCATGACGTGTCTGCTATCATGGTTTTCATGCCACTGTACATGTATCTTTTTATGACATTTTAGCAGACAATAATCCTGCACTACAAGTCTCTTTTTTTTATGAGGACCTCCCACATTTTTCCACATTTTTTCCATTGGAGGAATATGGAGAAAATTATTTATGTAAGGAAAAACTAGGGGGGGGGGAAGGAGAAAATGCCAAAATACTGACTTTGAACATGTTTGCTGTAGAAGTATTGGTTGTGAATAGATTCATGTCGATGACTAGTACGGTATGTACTCGGTCAGTGAAATGACCAGTGAAGCGTAAGTACACGAAGGTGTAAAATGTGTACGAGTTGTCCACAAATTGATGTCAATTCAGCTACGTTGTAAGCGTATGTACAGTTAGTTGTTATATATGTGTACCGAAATGACTTGATTCAGCTGGACTTTGTCAGATTTACAAGATCTGAATATGGATTATTGACTTTGAATTTTTCAGATAAAAAAAACAAAAACGGAAAAATACAGAAAATTGTTGATGATAAACATAGCTACTCTGGTCCATCTAGAATCCTGCTGGTATATGTATTTCAAATTTTAATTCTGGAAGCAGTCATATTTATGTATATTGAAAATCCATGAACATGGACTACTGATCAGCAATAGTGTAACTGTTTAAATTTTACCTTAAAATTGTGTGGATTTTTAGAAGAAATGTCACTAATAATATTATAAATCATGCACTTTTCTTTGGCAAAAACAACCTTACTTCATGTTACATCTGCCAGCTGACATTGCTGGGCTGTGCTAGGCTGCTAGCGTTAATAGATAATACTGTAATGACCTTAATAAAATCTGATAGTAAGACATATAAAAATGCCAGGAGCAAACATCTAGGATCTAGAATAAATTTTGAGGGAGATTACCTGTGCCATTGACTGACATGGTTTTAAAGGAGATTACCTGTGCCATTGACTGACATGGTTTTGAGGGAGATTACCTGTGCCATTGACTGACATGGTTTTGAGGGATATTACCAGTGCCATTGACCGACATGGTTTTGAGGGATATTACCTGTGCCATTGACTGACATGGTCTGGAGGGAGATTACCTGTGCCATTGACTGACATGATTTTGAGGGAGATGACCTGTGCCATTGACTGACATGGTCTGGAGGGAGATTACCTGTGCCATTGACTGACATAGATTTGAGGGATATTACATGTGCCATTGACCGACATGGGTTTGAGGGAGATTACCTGTGCCATTGACTGACATGGTTTTGAGGGAGATTACCTGTGCCATTGACTGACATGGTTTTGAGGGGGATTACCTGTGCCATTGACTGACATGGTTTTGATGGAGATTACCTGTGACATTGACTGACATGGTTTTGAGGGAGATTACCTGTGCCATTGACTGACATGGTTTTGAGGGAGATGACCTGTGCCATTGACTGGTGTGGTTTTGAGGAAGATTACCTGTGCCATTGACTGACATGGTCTGGAGGGAGATTACCTGTGCCATTGACCGACATGGTTTTGAGGGAGATTACCTGTGCTATTGACTGACACGGTTTTGAGGGAGATTACCTTTTTCCATTGATTGACATGATATTGAGGAAAACACCCTTAGCTATTGACTTTTGATTTTAAAGTAGATTACCAGTGCTATTGTCTATTGATTTTGAGGGAGATTACCTGTGCCATTGATTGATGCATTAATGGCATGTCTGTATTCCTCTAACTTGTGGATGAAGAGTTCCTTTGTGGTGTTGATGAAGATATACATGTAACAGGACGGTTCCGATGACACAGTATGGACGTTGTGGAAGGCATCAGCAGGCAGCTTCACAAATATAACAAATCAGTCAAACCTTGTTAGGGAAACTGATTCTTTTTGGAATTAAAATAATAAACAAAGTTTAACAGTAGGAGAATATCAGGCCCATGTTGACCTGTCAAGCATGTTATCCCAGGCATGATAGGAAACGTTCCACCTCTGTAAGTGATGGATTTCTGTATACCTATATAATGTCTACATGTCGATATACCTATATAATGTCTACATTTCTATATACCTATATAATGTCTACATTTCTAATAATGTCTACATTTCTATATAATGTCTACATTTCTATATACATATAGATGAATTGATGCTTTACGTAAGGTTGATGTAATTACAAGCACTAGATCTTGCCCAGGTTCCAGACTTCTTACATCAAGCATGTCTAACTTCTCCATACAATATTAACCTGTTTACTTTGCCTCTATTCCTACCTAGCTGTAGCAGTACCCCTATTCATTCCTAGCTGTAGCAGTGCCTCTATTCATTCCTAGCTGTAGCAGTACCTCTATTCATTCCTAGCTGTAGCACTGCCTGTATTCATTCCTAGCTGTAGCAGTGCCTCTATTCCTACCTAGCTGTAGCAGTACCTCTATTCCCACCTAGCTGTAGCAGTACCTCTATTCATTCCTAGCTGTAGCACTGCCTGTATTCATTCCTAGCTGTAGCAGTGCCTCTATTCCTACCTAGCTGTGGCAGTACCTCTATTCATTCCTAGCTGTAGCAGTGCCTCTATTCCTTCCTAGCTGTAGCAGTACCTCTATTTTGTCCTAGCTGTAGCAGTGCCTGTATTCATTCCCAGCTGTAGCAGTACCCCTATTCATTCCTAGCTGTAGCAGTACCTATATTCCTACCTAGCTGTAGCAGTACCTCTATTTCTGCCTAGCTGTAGCAGTGCCTGTATTCATTCCCAGCTGTAGCAGTACCCCTATTCATTCCTAGCTGTAGCAGTGCCTGTATTCATTCCTAGCTGTAGCAGTGCCTCTATTCCTTCCTAGCTGTAGCAGTACCTCTATTTCTACCTAGCTGTAGCAGTGCCTGTATTCATTCCCAGCTGTAGCAGTACCCCTATTCATTCCTAGCTGCAGCAGTGCCTGTATTCATTCCTAGCGGTAGCAGTGCCTCTATTCCTACCTAGCTGTGGCAGTACCTCTATTCCTACCTAGCTGTAGCAGTGCCTCTATTCCTACCTAGCTGTAGCAGTACCTCTATTCCTACCTAGCTGTGGCAGTACCTCTATTCATTCCTAGCTGTGGCAGTACCTCTATTCATTCCTAGCTGCAGCAGTACCTCTATTCCTACCTAGCTGTAGCAGTGCCTGTATTCCTTCCTAGCTATAGCAGTACCTCTATTCATTCCTAGCTGTGGCAGTACCTCTATTCATTCCTAGCTGTAGCAGTGCCTGTATTCCTTCCTAGCTATAGCAGTACCTCTATTCATTCCTAGCTGTAGCAGTGCCTGTATTCCTTCCTAGCTATAGCAGTACCTCTATTCATTCCTAGCTGTAGCAGTACCTCTATTCATTCCTAGCTGTGGCAGTACCTCTATTCGTTCCTAGCTGTAGCAGTACCTCTATTCCTACCTAGCTGTAGCAGTACCTGTATTCTCACCTAGCTGTAGCAGTACCTCTATTCATTCCTAGCTGTGGCAGTACCTCTATTCGTTCCTAGCTGTAGCAGTACCTCTATTCCTACCTAGCTGTAGCAGTACCTCTATTCATTCCTAGCTGTAGCAGTACCTCTATTCGTTCCTAGCTGTAGCAGTACCTCTATTCCTACCTAGCTGTAGCAGTACCTCTATTCATTCCTAGCTGTAGCAGTACCTCTATTCGTTCCTAGCTGTAGCAGTACCCCTATTCATTCCTAGCTGTAGCAGTACCTGTAGCTGTTGTCCTTCAGTCAGTGTGTAGTTACGTTTCCTGTCCACAATCTCCACAATCACCTCACCCTTGAGTAGAGTGATGCTAGTATTTCCCAGGTCTGGCTGTATATAGTTCTCCAGTGTCAATCCTGCATAACAAATACACCATTGAACACTTTTTAATCTCAGTAGATAGGTGTATTCTTAACTCATTCACCCCTGAAATTTCATAATGAACTATTCCAACATTTGAATTGGAAGAGTTCAAATGTGTCTTCAGGGGTGAATGGGTTAAAGTAAATCGACAGAGATTATTGTATCACATACCCATAACGTGTCAGAATGTAGAGAGATACAGGATGTTATACAATAAGGTAGGACACAACAAATTGTTTTTGGCTTGAAATCAGAAGTTATTATGTACTGATCAAATCAATGAATCTGAACAATATTTGTGCATCATTTGATGCTTTGGTAACTTGGTGTCATTTCCCCTGTCACAATAGGGTCTTTGCTGATTGGCTCAGGTTTTCAAAATGACAGTTGTCCTGGGGTAACAGAGTACAGTAGAAATGGCCTGACCTAACAATAAAGGGCATGTCTCAGATAGACATGGATACTGGATTCATACTGCACAACACACCTACATATAAATATATATTTATAAACTACATTTGGAATACATTTTTTCCCCATCCTAGCATGTTACTGGTCATTATCCTAGGCCTCTTGGTTATTGAGAAGAAGTTGTTTAAAGGTTTTAAACGTATTTGACCCCTGTGGCCTTGAACATAAGTAAAGGTCATTCATTTAAACAAACTTGGTTGCCCTCTATCCCAGCATGTTACTGGCCAAATATCATCATCCTAGGCCTCTTGGTTATTCAGGTGAAGTTGTTTAAAAGGTTTTAAACATATTTAATCCCTGTGACCTTGAATATAAGTCAAGGTCATTCATTTGAACAAACTTAGGTGCCCTTTATCCCAGCATGTTACTTGCGAAATATCAACACCCTAGGCTAGGCCTCTTGGTTTTTCAGAAGTTGTTAAAAGATTTTAACATATTTGACCCTGTGACCTTGAAAATTGATGATGGTCATTCATTTGAACAAGCTTGGTAGCCCTTCATTGCAGCATGTTACTGGCCCAATATCATCACCCTACGCCTCTTGGTTATTCAGGAGAGGTTGTATAAAGGTTTTCAACACAGATTTGACCCCTGTGACCTTGAATACAAGAGGCCCAGAGGGCCTGTATCGCTCACCTGGATATCTAAGCAATCATGGCAAAATATTCTTACAAATGAGATCCAAGGGAATATGCTAGACCCCAAGGCCAATCCTTGTAGCATATCTGTATTAGATTTTTCATGCCCAGCAATTTTATGTATGGTTATGGGGTGGGGATCTCAACTGTTTCCAAGCTGTGACTCAGAAACTAAGTCCCCAGGGTTGTGGCCAGACCCCAGGATCAATTCTAATATCATTACTGCATTTGTCTCTTTTTGCCCAGCATTTGTATTTTTAGTTTTGGGGTGGGGATCTCAACCGTTTCAAAGTTATGACCCAGGGGTTAAGTCTGCAAGGGTGGGGCAGACCCTGGGGTTGATTATAATACATGACTGAATTCTCTTTATGCCAAACAATTGTACAGTTGAACCTCGTTATTTTGAAGTCGACAGGGTCGTGAAAAAACTTCGAGTTATCCGAGTATTCAAGTTATGAGGGTTCATAAATTTGGTATGAAATTTGCTGTTTTGACATAGCACTAGCAGTTATTGATTTTATTAATAACCAATGCTTGTAATCAATCGATGATTGATATACGTGATCAATATAACAAATACAGGTATGTTATTTTACAATAACACTCAAAAATAGAGTTATTTCTGAAAAACATACTTTCGTTTAACACGATCAAAACGGTTGGACCATATCGTGAAAACGTTATTTAAAGTATGGACGGATCTAGTTATTAAATTTTTGATTTTGGCTAGTCTAGATCTTGACAAAGTCTTTCCAGGTCTACATTTGTATTTGCAAGTCCGTTAAGTTTTACTTCTGAAGTGTTACATTTTAAAATCGAACTATCCCGCTGTCTCCTACCTCGTACTACACAATGCGGAATTCTGATAATGTCCAAGAGGTACCAAACCAGCTCCAAGGTGTTTCACAGTATTCAGGTTAGTGTTTGATTTTGATATCAGTTGCCGATCAGGGTGAACAGTATATTGAATTGCAAAAGGGTCAGCTGTAGAATGATAACGGGGTTGACAGGTAATGTGCTTTTTATACCCAGCTAGACCTATACTCGTTCCCAAGCAAGCACAAACTAAAATTCTCGTCACTTCTTTAGAAACAATAGGTGGTAGAGAACGCCACTAGGGAACATCTCAAAAGCAGAAAAAAACATCTTCTCAATATATTTATATTTTTTTATTGAAAGCTTTTTAACTTGCACTGTAAGCTTGAAAAAAATTGCTATGAAGATCAGAATGTAATTTAATATGAGACGTGTACTTTATAAATACCTGGAAAATCTGCCACAAACACAACATCAGTGTAGTTTGATGAGCTATGAAGTTCCGCCTGAATCTCGGACAGTTTCTGTCTCCAGTCCGACAGATCGACCAGTAAAGGAAAGGCAAAGGAAACCTTGGAAAATGGTCCCCAGGGGGCTCGCAGTAGGTCAATGTTGGGGTTAAACACTCTGAAATATTTACAAATATGTGTTTATACTTCAGTAAGCGTAAAAGTAAAAGAATGGTAAACTGTCCAGTATTTTAAACAGATTCTTACCGTTGCTGGAAGCGGTCATTGAGAGACCTCCACACGTCGATATACAATTCAACGTTGGTGATATTGTACTCCACTAGTCGATCAGCTATACACGTCATGTACTGTTTGACCATATCAGCATGGCTTGACCATCGGCTACTCTTACCCGGTACCCAAGCCTTAAGAAAAATAGATCATTTAGAACATATGTTTTTCCAGTAAATGAGGGATGACCCGTCATTGCGTGAGTGATATAGGACCTGTCAAGTACAATGACAGATCAAGTTTTACAGCAGTGGACAACAGATGCACCTGCCAAGCCAATCAAATAATCGAATCGGCACAGGTTATAGAAGATTTTGGAATTTCCTCCAAATACACTGATCATCAAGTTATTGAAAAGACTAAACTTCTTCTTAGAAAAGACAGTATTCCGTCTTTGCGTATTGCAGAGTTATCTTCTCTTGAGAGCAGGTATTGATTGTTATGTCATTTGTTTGTGAGAGTAACGTCATCAATTTTTCAGAAACGACATAATTTTCTCCCACAAACCAATGACGTAACAATCAACACCTGCTCTCAAGAGAAGATAACTGAGCAATACGCAAAGACGGAATATCAAAGGGCAAATTTTATAATAATCCTATAAATGCCATATTACTGATTTCAATGAAACTGAACATACCAATTAAATGACCTGCAATTAGCAAGCTTCACCTGCTATAGACATCTACGCCCTTCAATTTATTGTAATGAACTTGGTAGGCACATGTATGTTATGGTTTTAGCCACCTACTGTACATGTAGAATCATTTATTTTCGTGGAGTTAAAATTTCGTGGTTTTCATATGCTAGCCTGTTTCAAAGACATTATATTTCGCTGGTTTTTGATTTTCCCCTATCTATATCATACCAAATTTATATTTTCGTTGGGATTTTATTTTGTGGAGTCTTGTTATCCACGAAATAAACGAAATTTAATGTCCCACGAAAATTTATGATTTTACAGTATATGTAATAAACAAGAGGCCCAATGGGCCTGCATCGCTCACCTGTTATTAATCTCACACTTGTAATCTTAAGATTTCATAAGAACCTATTAAAAGATTTAAACATATGACGCCTCTGACCTTGATTGTCGAACAAGGACATTAGGTTGAAAGTGGATCAAGGTCATTCATTTGAACTAACATGGTAATCCTTCATCCTAGCATGCTACAGGCCCAATTTCAGTACCCTGGCCCTTTTGCTTATTGAAAAGAAGTCGCTTGAAGATTTTACGACATTTGACCCCTGTGACCTTGAAAGTTGGTCAAGGTCATTCAGTTGAACAAACTTGATAGTCCTTCATCCCAGCATGCTACAGGCCCAATATCAGTACCCTGGGCCTTTTGGTTATTGAGAAGAAGT